GCTATGCAAACGAGGGGGAGGGGTAGTTGTGCACTCTCATACTTCAAGCACCACAAGCACAAGAAGTATCACAAGCACCTGAGTAGGAAGAAACAGCAAGCGATGGATGACAAACAGGAGCACAATTACGATTACATCCACGACAGCGAGGAAGATTTCGATGGTATCCGGTGTAAAAATAACGTCCCCACGACCCTGTAGTTGTCATGCAAATCTGCATACGCAAAATGTTTCTCATCATGCGGAGCCCCATGAGAAGCATTTTCTAGTCGTGTTTTGGATTTTGTGATTCTCGAAGCAGCATGATGTGCTAGATTTGTGATGCTGCAGCACTAGCTAAACGCGATTAATACATTGCGAGCCCAAACTTGTCATGCGAAACAGCCAAAGCTTGTTGATTTGTCTTGCAGATTTCATCCCAACTTAGCTATGGGGTGAGGACGTTTTTCTGGAAGATAGGTGCCGGACCAGTGAGAGGGTTTCAGCTGGACCGGTTGTTTTCGCCCGCCACGCGCGCGTGGCGAAAAACGATGGAGTTCAAGGACTACCTATCAGCTGAAAAAATGTCTGGGTCTGGAAGAGTCGGGGCTTGTTGTCATGCACATTTTGCATGACCCGGGAGGTCTGTGATGCTGGTGCTAGCATCACATATTTTTTGAGAGCTTCTCTTCTGGATGCTACTTACGCATGAGAAATGCCCTTTCCGCGTGCCAAGAACTGACTCCTCTTGCTGCTCATGCAACACAGATATTTTTACAATCGTCCGCAGAGAGCATTACAAGTTCCACTCTTCCAGACCCAGACATATTTGCAACCCATACTACCTCCTCGGCAACAATGTCACAAGACACGGCGACCACGAGAATACCCAGGATGAGCGTATAACCCGCTCAGATGTTACAATCTCAAACGTTACAATAGAGCCTGGAATTTGTCTTGCATGATGAGCATGACGGAATCGCAGAGCATTCCACTTTCTGCAGTACAAATTTCGCCAGGTTCTAGTGCGGTTTGGGGCTCCGAAACTTGTCATGCGCAATCCTGTGAGAGTAGGTTAGCTCCTGCACTTCTTGCATCACAGCTTTCCATATTCTATTGCAACGCTGGAGATTGTAACGTTTGAGCAAGTTATAGAACGGGGCCACCAAAACCCCTACGGTTTGGAGGAGACCCACGCCCTGAAAGAACTGGAAACAAACGAGGAGCTCCGCGATATCCTGAGCAAAAACTACGTCCCCAGCCAAGAGTTGTCATGCAGATTTTTCATTGCAGAAGCATTTGCAATGCGCATCCTCACAAGAGGCATAATTTTCAGTCGTGCTTTGGAACTTGTAATACTGTAAACAGGATAAGGAGATGGATTTGCTATGCGGTTCGCCTTGCTAAACCGCACGGCCCTGCAGCCTACAACTTGTCATGCGTCACTCTCAAAACTTCCAGTTTTGTGTTGCAAAATCTCCATCTTGACTCTCGTGTGGGGGCGTTTGTATTCAGGATACGCGACCACCGGTATTTCCGCCAGCCCAGTGCCTTCCAGCGGCATTTCGTCAAGGAGAATTCGATGCTGAGCCGGTATCAAAAGGAAAAATCCCCCCTCCCCATATCAAAACGAAATTTCTGATGCTGGATTTGGATACACAAAACACATTTGTCGCGCAGCAGAGAACTGCAGGCATATGCCCAGCCTGAGGCGAGAGGTTTTGACGTACGTTCCTAGCATGACAAATGTCTATGCTGTAGGCCAAACAGCATCACAAACCGCCTACATAGTTCGGCGGACTCTCTAGAGTTGCCTTCTCGCAAGACAAACAGGATTTGCGGTCACAAATCTGCATCACAAATTTTCAGGCGCGTTCGTTTTCAATATGGGTAGCCGGGATTTTTCCTTACGATAGCCGGCTTACCGTGCCCTGGTGGGTGAGCGGCACTACCACACTGGAAGAGCTGCGGCGGAGCTATCACAAGGCGGCGCCGGTCACCCTGAAACTGGCGGAACAATACCTGGCCTGGCGTCTGCCGCTTTCCATTCGCGAATTCGGCACAGAGGATTATGTCTTGCACCAGATTCGCATACCGCAGCAAGATGTGTGGACCAAGCTCTGCCCCGTCCGTCAACACTTCATGGACAAACTGTGGGAGCGCAACTATCGTAAGAAAACCTTCCCCCTCCCCGTATCGAAAAGCAAGCCACAGAAAATTTGCAATGCTGCTTTGTGACCGCAGGTCGTCTCTGTAGTCTTGCAAGGAGGCAACTCCATAGGCCCCGCCACATTATGCAGGTGGTTCGTGATGCTGTTGGGCCTACAGTGTGGACATTTGTAATGCCGGGGCCTATGTCAAAACATCGCCGCCCGGGGTTGGCATATGCCTGCAGTCCTCTACTGCAAGACAGCTCTGATCTGTATGCGCAAATCCAGCATCACAAGCGTCCTTCTCGATATGGGGAGGCGGGATTTTTCCTGTTGATGGCAACGCGGTGTCCGCCAAGTTTTACGTCCGGAAAACGCGGAACGCCTTCCAATCTGAGCAGGCGAAGGCGAGGGCAGAGGCCGCGAGAGAACAAGAGGAAGCTTTTGCTTACGTGGTTTCGCAGACCATGTTTGGCAATTTGGTGACGCGGGGAAGCATCCTCGTGGGCGTGTTCACGGCACCCGCCTTGAAAAAACTACATCTCGAGTACTACCAGGCACATATCAACCGCAAATACGTCTCAGTCTGGAAGAATGCAAGGTTTGTCATGCATGTTTTGCATGACCCACGATGCCTGTAATGCATGACCTAGCATCGCAGATTTGTAGAAGGCTTCCTGATGCCTATTGCGCATGACAACTGCTCTCCCCGCGTAGCACAAAGTGGGCTCCTCTTGCTGGTCATGCAATAAAAATCTTTTTAGAATCCACACACAGCATCACAAGTTGCAACCTTCCAGACATCCAGGGACATTTGCCATGCATAGCACACCTGCTGTCCCAGATTCGCAGCAACACCGCTTTCTATCCTGAGTAGAAACGTCCCCACCCAGAGTTGTCATGCGAGTGTGCAATGACAGAAACATTTGTAATCCGCAGTTCCATGAGAGGCATTTCCAATCGTGTTCTGGAATTTGTAATGCTGTAAACAGGATGAGAAAATGGCTTTTTCATGCAGCTTCCCTTGCCAACCAGCACTACACTGCAGAGGGAAACTTGTCATGCACAGTTCCCAAAACTTGCAGATTTGTGATGCTAGAACCCCAACTTGACTATGGGGTGGGGGCGTTTTTGCTTAGGATACTTTCTGGGGCTACCTCAGCACTCTCAAACCGGCCGGCCACCAGCTGTGGGAGGACTTGGTCCAGCACCAACGGGAAAAATATCCAAGAAAAAAACTTTGTTAGTGTAAATTTGTGATGCGCAACATGCAAATTGATTGCGCCTGTCATGCTATGCCTGCATTGTAGGGTCCATACAAGGGCGTTTTCACGTACTATCTGCGCATGAAGACAGGTTTTTGCTGTCATGCATGAGAAGATAACTGTCATGCTAATCCTCCAAGAATAAAGTTACACCTGCAAAGATATTTTTCCTTGGATAGAAAAGGCAGCGCGTTTGTTAAAGACCCTGCACAGGAGAAGCAGGCCGAGACGCGGCGGAAAAACCGAAAGCTGCGGAAGAAGAGGGGCTACCTCCTGGTCCCCCACATGTACCCGCGGCGGCTCCAACCCTCGAAGAACAAGAAAAAGGCGGGTGGTCACCATAGCGCCGCCCAGCTATCGGCATTCCTGGAGAAGCCCACCGTGCCCCGGCGCCGCTTTGAGAAGCCGCATCCGCTGTTCGAAAAACCAATGCCGATCAGGAGCCTGATGAGGGGCGGGTTCCTGGAGGTGAAGGAAGCGCGAAGACTACAGAGGGAGCGCCAGAAGAAAGAACGGCGCGGCGAGCCGGGATCGTCGTCACGAGAGGAGGACGCAGCTGGAGCAAAAGCTGCTGGAGGGGACTTGGTGGAGGACCGCCAGCAGCAGGATATTAAGACTCACCCTTCGAACCCGAAAGTAGAAGGGTCCTCCTCCTCGTCTCATAACTCTATCATCGAGCAGATTTTGAGTTATGATGAAATGGAGCGAGAAATCAGGGTGGTGGTGAACCGCGAGCACTTGCTGTGGGTGCAGCGCTATGAACTGCAAAAGTATCGCACTTGCGTAAATGCATTACAAATTTTCTCGGCGTGAGAAATAGAATTTGTAATGCGGATTTACGCTAAGAAAACAAATTTGTAATGCATGACTGCAGCAATGCGAGTAGGATACTTTTGCAATGCACAAGCGCGGAACGTCGGCCCCCGCCTTCGATTTTTTGAACAGGCCGCTCGGGAGCTTGCACAACGAATTTTTTGGACATATGGGATTCTCAAATGTTACACTCTCAACTGTTGTAACATGGATTTGTCATGCAAAAACGCTACTGCAACTGGTCTTCTTTCACCCGATCAAGCCTTCTCTGCATGACAACTTCTCGACGTGCTAAATAGCACTTCTAAAATCCGTTCCAAATCTGTAATGCAAAAGGCGCAATCCTCCTCCTTTAACTTTTGCCATTCGTGCATTACAAATCCATGCAACAGCTGAGAACCTAACAGCTGAGAATCCCATAGGACACCGAGGTGTCGAGGCCAAGGACAAACTGGTGATGCTGGACCCCTCCGTATCGCAAGAAGAAACTGTTATCACTGTGAACTTGTGATGCAGAAAATGGAACGCAGAACTATTTGTCTTGCCACAACACCTGCATAGAGCATTGGAGTTTCAACCGTGTTTATTTCTCCTATGCCATAGGAGAAATAAACACGTATGGGATGAAATGCGCGCATGACAAATTTTCAGTGTCATGTGTAAGAAACATGTGATGCAGATCTTGCAAAATCATCACAGTGATGGAACAGGTTTTTCGTGGGATGCTCCACATTTTATCGAGATTACGACGCAGCCCCACGGAAGGCGGGCGGCCACGAGAGTGCAGCCATCAATCTGATCGGTCGCGTCGGTCGCGTGATTCTATGACAGTGCACAACCCCCCCTCCCCCTCATTGATTTGTATTGCATGAACAGCAATACAAGCGTCAGCAAGAATACTGGTTTTGCATGACAAATTTGGACAGGAGTGTGGTGCTATTTGGGCTGCCAGAGCTTGTCATGCAAACAGTGCCAAGAGCCGAGGCGTAAATTAGGCACTTTGCATGACAAATGAGGGGGAGGGGGAGTTGTGCACTTTCATAGATTCGCGACGGGAGCTACACCAACAGGCGGATGTTTGAGCACCAAGCGGTGTCCACTATGGGGTTCTCAAATGTTACATTCTCAACTGTTACATAAATTTGTGATGCAAGAATGGGAAAAGTGAAAGGGAGAAGCTTGTACCTGTAGCATTACAAATTACGAACAGATTTAGGCGCTGTTTAGCCCTTCGCAAATTTGTCATGCCAAGCAGCTTGATCGTGTAGATGATGATGGTGCTTTTGCATGACAAATCCATGTAACAGCTGAGAGCGTAACGCTTGAGAACCTCATATCCACCTTTTTGGACTTGCAGCCCATCGAGTTTTGCGTGGTGGCCTTTCCCACGGGGATCAAATTTTCCAAATTGCTCGACAGGAGCAGTAGTCCTGCGCATCTTCCCCCTGGTGTTCCCGGCAATCAGCAGCAGGGCACTAGTACTAGCAAAGTGAGCGGCACAACCGCACGAGAAGGCACTCGTGATAAAAATTCCGCCAATAGCAAACAGGAACAGTCGGAGAGCATCAAAAAGTCCCCCGCCCACGCCGATCTTTTGCGTTTTCAAGTGGAATCCAAGTCGATCTTCAGCTTGTCCCGCTATGAGGCCAGCATTTTGCTGAATCAAGCAGTGGCCAAAACGAAGCGAAAACTGGACCTGGAACCGGCACAACTGCTCGACCAAATCTGTGAAAATAGCCCCGACCTTGTTCCGCCGCCCGCATCATCTTCAAAAAGGGCCACGTCATCATCCTCAGGAAGAAACAAAAAGCGCGGAAACAAGAAAGGAGGGGCCGCGACGGCGGGCGACGCGGCGGCCCAAGGGGGCAACGCGGCGGCCCAAGAACAGGCCAGGCGGGTGGATATGCATTGCAAATATGTCTGGGTCCGGAAGGATGCAAGTTTGTCATGCTTGTCTGGGATGACTCTTAAATCTGTGACGCATGAGCAGGAAAAGGGCCTCTTGCCTGTCATGCAAAAACGCAACTTGTCATGCGATAATCGAAATACACGTCAGCGCAAAAACAAACTTGTGAAGATGCTTGGCTGCATACTGCAGTGTGCCCACAATTCGTAGATTTGCATCACAAGTTCCCAGACCCAGACTACATATTTGCATTTGATAGTGGACAAGAAGATACCAAAGCCGGAATTGCGGGCCAACGACGACCTGGTGCTGACCTTATGAAAGCCTCAGGTTGGGAATCCTCAGACTGAGAGTAGTTTGCAATGCAGAAAACCACTCCAGTTTAGGCCCCACTTCTAGGGAGCGCATGACAAATTTCCCGGGCGCTCAAAGCATGTCTGTCATGCTGGTTAACGCAAAGAGGTGCGGTGCCCTTCTCTCGTGCTAATCAGCACTCCAATTCTTAACCCGTAGAAGCGAAAGCCACTAGTCGCCCTCCATTGCGTCCTCTGCAATGCAGTCTTTTTTCCGTCGCATTTCATGCATCACAAATTGTTTTCACTTTAAGGATTTTCATTCTGAGGCTTTCATAGACCTTCCTGGTGAATGGCGAGCGCCCCTTGCCCCACCACGCGTGGCTGAAGAACGTGTATGAAACGAAACGGTACGAAGCCTCGCAGACGGGGTTCGGGAATTCGGGCTTTATGCGGGTTTTGAAAATGAAGGGCCGTGTGTCGTTCTGCCCGATATGCAATGTAAATTTCCTGTACATGATGTACAAAATGCACGACAAATTTCGCTACCTTGCAGAGTCCAACTTGTCATGCTGGACTAGGATTGAAGGCAAGTTTTGTCATGCAGAGACTGCATTTGTACGTGTACGGGAAATTTACTGGGGATACCCGAATCCGCAACTCACTTCCGTCGTGCCCTACCGGAGGAGAAAGCACCACAGTACGGAAATTCTAGCTCGAAAAGGTATCAAAGTCAAAAAACAAGCCCCCGCCTCATATTCAAAAGACAATTTGTGTGGCTGGGTTTGTGTACACAAATGAACATTGTATTGCAGCAAGAGCTTGTCGGCATATTCTAAGCCCATTTGGGTACGCATCCGGCTAGCAGTTGAGCATGAGAAACAAGTCTGACATAGGCGAAAACGCATGACAGACTCGCTGCACAATGCACCACATGAATGCCGTTTGCCTTGTACGGCGCACGACAAAGCTGATTTGTGGTCACAAATCAGCATCACAAATTTTCTTTTCGATATGAGAAGGGGGGGTTTGGGTTTTTCCTTACGATAAAAGAGCGCAACACTCCTATGGGAACCACGACAGTAGCGGCGACCGGCGAAAGTAAGCAGGACGGCGGAGTGGGAGAGAATCTTATGGGTATCACCGATGTATTATGCATTGCAAAAGTATCGCACTCGTATAAATGCATTACAAATCTTCTCAGCATGAGAAAGAAAATTCGTAATGCGGATTGACCTTAAGAAAAGGATTTGTAATGCATGACTGCAATACGAGTGCGATAGTACTTTTGCACAGGATATGTGTTGAAAGCGGAGGAGATGGACTATCCTGTGCAAAAGTATCGTACTCGTATAAATGCTCATGCAAGTCTTGCATTACAAACCTTGTTCTCAAGGGAGATTAGCATTACAAATTTTATTTCTCATGCTGAGGAAATTTGTAATGCATTTATACGAGTACGATACTTTTGCAGTGCATATGGACGACAGGGACGCAATGCTCGTCTTATCTGAAGCAAAAATCCCTGGATGTCTGGAAGAATGCACGTTTGTCATGCTTATCTGGCATGACTCTTAAATCTGTCATGCGCGTTACCCAAGAGCTCCATTTTCCTGTGATGCAGAAACGCAGTTTGTATATGCAGAATAGGCAAAACACCTAGAACAGCTCAGAAACTTGTCATGCTGCGCCAGCACTTGTAATGCCTCATCATGAGACGCCGCTGAGCATCACAAGTTTCCAGACCCCGACACTTTTGCACTTGATACGTGTGCAGCTCCAACAATTGCACAGATGCCGACATTATCAAATGTAAAAATGTCTGGGTCTGGAAGAATGCAACTTGTAATGCTGTTAGCGGATTCTAAAAATATCTATGTTGCATGAGCAGCAAGAGGAGTCAGTTCTTGGCACGCGGAGAGTGCATTTCTCATGCGTAATTAGCATCAAGAAGCTCTCAAAAAATCTGTGATGCTAGCACCAGCATCACAGACCTCACGGGTCATGCAAAATGTGCATGACAAGTCCCGACTCTTCCAGACCCAGACATTTTTGCATTTGATAGACATCAAAAATGCGACCGGCAACTCGTCAGTGTGGACGAAATACTTCACGCTTAAAAACTTCACTCATTAAAAAAAAATTTTTTTTTGGTGTTTTTTTGGATCTCTGAAAGCAAAGCAGCTGCTTCGAGGAGGTGAATCGTTTGTCAGCCACGCCTAAGCTCCAACCCAAAAGGCCTCGAAAAAGGAGTCACTTTCGGGCCACCAAAAAGGGCCAGCTTTGAGAGGTGAATCAAATGACAATCCCACCTATGTTCTTCCCAGAAATGCCTCAAAGCCATAGCACTTTTCGCAAAAGCATCGCTTTGATGCACCATTTCGACGATTTTCAAAAGTGCTCACTTTTGAGAGCTCGCGCCGCTTCTACGGTGGCCAAAAACGGCGAAAATGAATCAAATGTCCCCGGAGCCAGTTTTTGGATTTTTGCGAATTCTTCGGCCGGTGCTACGCTCAAAAAAATGATGTTTGATTCATTTTACTTCCAAGTCGTCGACTTTTTCACTTTTTCGCTCACAAAAGTTGGCTTTTTGCTTTCATCTTACTCAACTGAAGACTCTGTGGAACTTTCGCTCTCAGAATTATATGTCGTGGCGTCTTCACTAGTCAAAAGCCAATCGCTGCCACCCAAAGCAAGGCCCAGTCGTCCTTCCACTGATCCAGAAGGTGCAGGCGCCGCAATCGCCGCCGTCGGCACGTAGCTGCCGATGCTGTAAGCAACAGCATCAAACCTCACTAAAAAAATTTTTTTTTTAGCAAGTGAAGTTTTTAAAAGTGAAGCGTTTAGCCGTGTGATAGGCAACTCGTCAGTGTGGACGAAATACTTCGAGGACAATCTCTTCTCGTCCAATTGGAACTTAAACCCATTTCGGTGGAAATGGGGCGGGTCAACAGCAACTACTAGTACAACGAGTAAAATAAACGAAACCGGCGATGCCGTGGAGAAGGAAAAGAAAGAGCAGGAACAGGCAACGGTATTGGATGAGCCCCGGGCTGAGGATGCACTCGAAAAGTTAGTGGACAACGCGCTCGAGCCGCCGAGTATGGAAGCGTCGGGATTAATATCGGCAATGTTGAAATAAAAAGTAATTCCTCATGCATAAATTGCAAGGCATGCAGTTGATGGTTCCTCTCTTGCAGGGATGGCAAGTGAGGCCGACTGTCAGCCTGTAGCTCGGGGTCTGCGATAGAGCTGCTAAAGCAGCATGACAAGAGACGCCTTCGTTCCCTAAACAGCATGACAAACGGGATTCAGATGGTGCCAAAATTTGTCATGTCCCGCTTCAAAATTGGGCTTCCAATTGGTATCGATTTTATGCATCGCAAATTTTCAACTTTGTCGATTTCGATCCTTACGCCCCCATACTGAGCGCGGCCTTTTTACCGGGCGTAAACCGGGACGAGGAGAAGCTGCTGTATTACAGTGAAACATGCCCCCACCCACAAAGGTGCAAAATTTTGTGATGCAAGGTTTCCAAATGAAAACTTTTTGTTGCGCATGAAAGGAGTATGAATCTTTCTGATGCAGATTCTTGGCGTGTATCGCATCGCTTGCATGACAGGCGCCGCTCTTGCTGGGGTCTTTTGCAATAAAAATTTTTCCTCTTCACGATAGGAACTCTGTGATGCTGATAGATGCAGGAGGGCGAGTGTTTCATTTGGAAAGGTTTGCAATACAAATCAATGCTCCCAAGTTCGGGGGTGGGGGCATTTTTCATTGCAATATGCTGGAAACCGAGTGCTACGTGCGGACCTGGAACGAAGCAGTAGACTACGTGTACAATGTCCGCGAGGAAGTGGGAATGGCGGATGAGCTCCTATGCATTGCAAAAGTATAACGTGCTAGTCGTAATTGCAATACAAATTACCTCAGCATGACAAGTGGAATTTCTCATGCTGTTTTACCTTGGGATGGAGATTTGTAATGCACCATAACTGCGATGATTACTACGAGTACGTCGATACTTTTGCGGTTGATAGCTCCACACCCTGAATAACTGCATGAAGACGTGGGGCCTGAAGCCCCAGGTGTCTACGCACGAACACGAACAGGCCTTGCGCCACTTTCTCCCGGGGGTAGCCGAAGACACAAGGCAGTTGCGCATCCTACTCCACCTTATCCACAGAAAATTTCCCATACGCGCACAATCAAATTCAAATGCGGCCTCTGCATGACAAACCTTGGCTTCGATCCTAGTTTAGCATGACAAGTGATGTTACACTCCGAATTGACGAGATTTGTGATGCATTTTGTCCATGTAGTTGTACGGGAAACAAATTTGTATTGCATACCCCTAGAGGACATCGTAGAAGATGCGTCAGGAACCTCCCCGTGGTGCGTGGCCAAAAAAATGAGGGACGATATCGCTCGCCGCATGAAAGGAGGAAGTGCTTCTTCTAATATGGGCGAACAACAAGAAACAGCACGCGAGAGCACAACATCAGGCGGCGCAGCGCCGCAGGAGGGCGGTTTAGATGCTGAACAGGCAGAAGAAGCAGCTGCTCGTATCAAAATGGAAAATCCCCCCTTCCCAACCCCAAATCAAAATGGAAATGAATCTGTGATGCGGGATTTGTGTACACACATGAAATTTGTGCTGCAGTACAGCACTGCACGCAGATCGCAGGCCTAAGTGGGGACGTTTTTTTGTAGGCGCCTAGCATAGCAGACGCCTGCACTGTTGGCCGCCTTACAGCATTACAAGTCGCCTGAGTACTTATTTACGTGGCGGACAGCCTGAGTGCGCCTGCTTGCAAGACAGACAGGATTTGTGGTAGCAAATCTGCATCACAAATTTGCAATATGGGGACGAGGGGGGATTCTTCCTTGCAATAGCTCGCAGAGAGCACGAAGACCACGTGCGTGCAACCCACGACGCACGGTATCGGGCTATCCTGTGCAAAAGTATCGTACTCGTATAGTATTGCAATCATGCATTACAAATTTTTTTCTCTAGGTAAATCCGCATTACAAATTTTATTTCTCATGCTGAGGGAATTTGTAATGCATTTATACGAGTGCGATACTTTTGCAGTTCATACGGGCTGCGTGGGAACAAAAAATGAGTGCTGGTGGTACTCGCGGAGGCCAAGGTGGAGGTGTGGCGCAGCCGGAAGGAGATCCACTGCACCAGCGCGGAGGAGGTCGTGGTACTCCTACTCCGCGGGAGCAGACGACGCGGAATCTTCACCATGACCAAGGAGCGACGTCGAATCAGCATGGTAAAAATTCGCCGTCCTGTGTGGATTCCCAGTTGCGAAGGGCTTTTCTGATTGACAAAATCGTACATGTTCTGGAGAAAGTGGTCGATGCGGATTTGGTCTACGACTTAGAGTATCCAACGCAAATATCGATCTGGGTCTGGAAGAGTGCAAGTTTGTCATGCTTGTGGTCTCACATGACTCTTGAACCTGGATTGCGTGAGCAGGAAATAAAAAGCCCCTTGCTTGTCATGCAAAAATGTAGCTCGTCATGCGGAAAACGAAACACTGAGGAGCCCAGAAACTTGTCATGTGTGGCTGTCTATTTTTGCAGTGCCCCCACAATTCATGAATTAGCATCACAAATTTCATCCAGACCCACACATATTTGCAATGCATACAGAGTCCCGGTCGGCCCGCCCCGTCCTGGTACTGGTTTCCTCCCGGAGTCCGCAGTTGTATGTGGAGGTAAAGTATCAAATGCAAAAATGTCTGGGTCTGGAAGAATCCGAACTTGGGATGCTGCATTTGGATTCCAAAAAAACCTGTCTTGCAAGACCAGTATAAAGGGAATGCAATTTTGGCCACGCGAAGACGCAAATTTGTCATGCGGTATAGGTATCACGAGGCCCTCAAAAAGTCTGTGATGCTAGGGCATGCATCACAGACATCATGTTCCATGCAAAACGTGCATAACAAGTCTCAGAATCTTCCAGACCCAGACATTTTTGCATTTCATTCAAAGAAGGCTTTCGAGGCACACGTGAGCCGGAATTTGAAACGCCAATGGTCCACCGCACATCGGTATCTTGAGAAAAAAGTGTTACAGTCACACTCTCGGATGCAAGACAAGCAAGACAGACAACCTCTGTCGTGCAGGAAATGTTTGCCAGCCTCATTTCATGGTGCAGCGTGTTTTCCCTTATAGTCTGCGCATTACAAGTTTTCTTTATCATGCAGAGCAACTTTGTGATGCTGAAATTACAACAAATGTGTAAAAACTCTAAACACTTTTTTCCTGCGATAATCGGCGGTTCTGGGGCATGCACAAAGACCTGGGCCGCAACGGGCAGCCAACCGGGGCGGAAAATAAAATTAAGGAGCGAGCGATGCGACGGGGGCTCAGACGTATGCATTGCAAATACATCGTAGTCGTACTAATCGCATTCCTGCATTACAAATTTCTTTTTCAAGTTAAACCCCCATTACAAATTTCATTTCCCATGCTGAGGAAATTTGTCATGCGATTTTTACTTAGTGCGATACTTTTGCAGAGCATAAGACGACAACAGCAGCAAAATCTACAAGCGACCCAGTGGATGCGCCACATGCAGGAGCAGCAACCGGCTTATGAATTGCAAAAATGTCTGGGTCTGGAAGAATGCAAGCTTTGTCATGCATATTTCTCATGGCCCATGATGCCTGTAATGCATGACTTAGCATCGCAGACTTTTAGAGGGCTTCCTGATGCACCTTCCGCATGAGAAATGCCCTGTCGGTGTAGCACAAATTATACCCCTCTTGCTGGTCATGCAATACAAATTTTTTTAGAGTCCAAAAACAGCATGACAAGTTGCAATCTTCCAGACCCAGACACTTTTACATTTGATACAGCTCCTTCGAATACAGTTCAAGGAGGCGGAGAAGTAGAATCAAAAAACAGCCCGTCTGCAGGAGCCACCACCTTGCTAGAGGTGGAGGAAGATGATGTGAATGCAGATGCAGATGCAGCGCACCAGGTCGCGTTGTCTATTAATGGCACTACTTCATCAATATCTCCGGCCAGAGATTCTTCTACTCCGCTTACTTCTTCTTCCCAACTGCAACTGGCAGAAAAGGGAATCGCCGTTCCGATTAGCGGCGCAGAAAGTGCGGATCAAGACTCATCTGCGGAGATAGAGGACTTTTACCACCAGGACGAGCAGCGCGACCCGACTAGTTATGCGAGTGTACAACTCGTCCCCCTCCCCGTCATTTGTACTATGGCATGAACAGCAATACAACCACAAGCACGCGTGGAGCTTATGCATGACAAATTTATGTGCCTGATGTAGTATTCTTTGCACAGCTTCCGGAATAAATTTGTCATGCATAAATAGTGACGCAAGCGAGCAACTGGAATTGTGGACTTTGCATGAGAAATGAGAAAATGAGAACGAGGGGGAGGAGTTCTTGTGCACTGTCATGCTAGTAGTTTCACTACGTCTAGTACACACATACGCGGGGAGGATCTTGAGGATTTCATATCCACAAAAAAAAAACCCTCCCCATCCATGTTCGGCATGACAAGCACTGGGTTTCATGCATGTTTTGCATGACAACATCAAATTGGATGGGGATGGGTGTTTTTTGTCTTAATATTTCACGATGGAGTTGCAGAAGACATATGAGATATGAACGGACAAAATACAATTTGACCCCAGAAAGAGCATTTAGTGCCACGAGAATGAAACTAGCGACCTACGAGAATGAGGAAGCAAATGGGGCTCCACCCGCTTACAACTTTTCCCGCTCCGGACGGGGTAGAAGCTGCGCTTTTCATAGGGCTTGTGCCCGTTTTTTCGCGCGCAAAGCTACTTGTTTTGCGCGCGGTTTTTCTCCGCTCGAGCGGTCGGGTGGAGAAAAACTGCATTACAAAATTGGAAAACCAGCCGGATGCAGATGCAGCTTTTCTCCCCGCAGGAGAAAAGCCGCGCCACAAATTCGCAAACTCCGCTTCCTCCGGTTGGAGAAAGTGAAAGACCGCGCCTCCGGTTCTCCGCATTACAAATGCGGAAAGGTGGCCTTTCCGCATTACAAGTGCGGAAAGGTGCCCATAGCCATTGCATTTGTAATGCGGAGAGCCCGACCTTTCAAAGGTCGGGCTCTTCGCATTACAAATCCAATGGGCGGAAAGGTCGGGCTCTCCGCATTACAAATGCGGAGTGCGGGGCTCCCCAGAGCTCGGGGTTCGGGTTGTGGGTAAAATGGGGAGAGGGGAAAGCCCGGACCCTCGGGTTCTCCGCAACCCGGGCTCTTCTCCGCATTACAAATCCCCCCGTTCGCCAAAAGCGGCTGCCACAGCCGCTGCACACCGTCGGGCGTAACCTTTTGCGCGATGCTATCCCCAAGCAGCAATATTCGCACTCCCGATAGCATCGGGCGTGAGGTTATGCTGCATGGTATCGCTGCGTGCGAATTTTCCTCGCAGCCATACCATGCTGCATTAGGTTACGCACGACCTGTGGCTGTCTTTTTCTGCCCCCCTTGGGCGTTGTGCAGCTTCTTTTTACCCTCAAACACGACCGGACTCCGGGAAAAGTTGTGGCTTTTAGGGAGGAAGCACAACTTTTCCGCGGACCACCCCAAGCCGGCCCCGCGGTGCCTCTTTTCCCGCATGAAACCACGGGGCCGCGCGGGCCCTCATGCAGTCAATGGTCCAAATTCCCGCGGCGTTCGGTGTTTCGCAAGCATACACCTTCGCAGACACGGCCGATTTTTGGCGTTTGCCGTTTTTGCGCCGGGCCCCGAGGGTCCGGTCGCTAGCAATGAGGGGCCAGCGCGCGCCTTCGTTGTGTAGCCGGCGCGCTTTTTGTAGCAGGCTGCGTGGCTTTTCGTTTTGTTTTTTCGTTTCTTTTCCTGCTGGGGCCAAAAGAAAGGGCGCGGAACGAGGGGCGCCGGTGCGCTGGCGGTGTTTCTGGGGCAGCGCCGGTAGCGATGCACCAACCAAGCGGGGGGGGGGAGGGCGCCTCTGCAAAAAGCGCGACCCGCTGGCGGCTCGATGCCGGCCATGCGCATGCCGGTGGAGAGAGTCTGACGGGCGCACGCATACCATTTGGTGGCCCACCTTGCCCGGGCGACCGTCCGACGAGGTGTGAAGGAGGCGGGGGCCCCGGCGATTCGTGGGGCAGGGCCACTGCCATGGCAGGCCCAGCGGTGCATTCGCTGTGGCGCACCTTCCTCAGACCTTCGATCGCGCGCAACCGCGGAGCCGGGGCCGAATGGTCTGAAAACCGGAAGCGGGGGCCCCGGGCCCGATGTTTTCTACATGTTTGGCCGGGCATCTTCCGAGCCCACCGTCGTGAGCCCTGTCGGAGGGACCGGGCCGCGGCGGCATGACAGTCTGACAGGCCGTGGGAGATCGGCTTGCACCCACCCCGCCGGCCTCAACTCCCAGCGCGCGCGCGGACGTTCATTCTTGCCACAATGGGGGCGGTTGGCTTTCTGGGCGGCCCCAGATAGAACCGCCCGCCCGCGTCGAGCAGCGGCCGGCCACAGCCTGTGGCGATTGAAAAGACACCGCCCGGCGCCCGGGCCTGTTGTATTCAGCGCCCGCGCGGGCCCGCTGCCTGGTGGTCGTCAGATTGGGAGGCACACACCGGCGCCTTGTTCCTCTCGTTGCGCCAGCCCACATATGTCGTCCCCCAAGCCGCGCCCGCTTCCCTGTTTCTCCCTGCGCGGCACTGCCCCAATGCCTCGCGCGGAGCTGCCCGCCGGGCCGGCGTGAGCCGGGTTTGCGCGATTTTTCCGCTCGGGCAAGTGGGATTCGGAACCGCGCCGGGCGGACCCGAGAAAGAGCGGCGCGAGAATGATTCTCGCAGGGCCTAGCTTTCGACGTGAAACGCCTCTCCATTCTCGCGGAAGCACTACGTTTGCGCGAGAATGGCAGAGAATTTCATGCAGATGCGAAGCCCGCCACGAGAATCATTCTCGCGCCGCAAGTTATGGGAGCCTGCCCGCAGCAACCCGGAAGCACACGGAAAATGCCCGGGGCCTGGGGGAAAACTGCTGGCGCTTGCCAAAAATGCAGCGCGCCGACGGCAATACCGGGGCCGGCCAGAAGGCCAGAGGGAGGGCGAGAGGCTGCAGGCGCGTGGCGCCCCTCGGGCAAATTTCTGCCCAAGATCTTTCCGGCCGGGGGGCCCCAACGCTTTGCCGAAGTTCTTTTTTCTGAAAATTGTTCGGCGGGCGCCCGCTCGCAGGATGGGGCCCAGGCGCAGCGGGGCCGGGGGCAACGGCGAAAGCGGGAGGCGAGGAGGCGGGGCTGGCGGATATTGGCAAGGCCGATGCAGTGGCAGCGCAGGCACCGCCTGCCCACACGCGCGCGCCACAAGCCGTGCCGGCCGGCGGGCCCTGGACATTGTGGCTGGGCTCAGGCGGGCGCGGCCAGCCTGTTGGCCAGCGGGCAGGAGCCGAGCTATTGCATGATGTGGCCACCAATGCATCTAGTGCCGGCGGCACCGGGGCCCGGGGCCTTCGCCCTCCGTTGCATGCGCCTGCCCTTCGGTCCACAGAGAAGACAGAACCCGCCGGCCGCGCACACACAGCTTTGGGCGCGCGGCGGCAATTGTCCCGCTCCGTGCAAGCCCCACCAAGCCAAGGGCTTCGCGCAATGCGCCCAAGTCTGCCGGGGCCGGGGCAACGAGCAGGGAGCGAAAATAAAGGCAGGCGGCGCGCAAAAGCGGGCCCCGCCCGGTGATTCTATTGCAGAAAAGAAACAGGCGGGGCGCGCCCCGTATATTGCGTTGCCGGGCCCGCCTGGTGTCTGTTAGTCTTCCGCCCCGATTTGCGGGGGCGGTTGCTGGCCTTCTTTGTGTTGGCCCGCCCTGGTTTCCCGCGTTTTTTTCGCACGACATCCCCGGGTCAAATGTGCACGAGGGGGCGTTGGCCCTCAAAATAAAAGCGCCGGGCGCGCCGCGGCCTTTTGGGTAGCCTAGGTAGCGAAGAGAATGAACGGCCGACGGCCTCCCATCAATCAGAACCCCGGCCCGGGCCCGGAGTAGATGCAGCCGGCGCGCAAAATAGAGAGGCCACTCTCATGGGCGTGCGTGCTTGCGAAACAAAGACAACCGCCACAATTTTGCGCGCGGCCCCGGCGTGTCTCGCGGGCGCCCCTTGGGGCGGGGCCGGCTTGGGGTGCGTGGTCCGCGGAAAAGTTGTGCTTCCTCCCTAAGCCACAACTTTTCCCGGAGTCCGGTCGTGTTTGAGGGTAAAAAGAAGCTGCACAACGCCCAAGGGGGGCAGAAAAAGACAGCCACAGGTCGTGCGTAACCTAATGCAGCATGGTATGGCTGCGAGGAAAATTCGCACGCAGCGATACCATGCAGCATAACCTCACGCCCGATGCTATCGGGAGTGCGAATATTGCTGCTTGGGGATAGCATCGCGCAAAAGGTTACGCCCGACGGTGTGCAGCGGCTGTGGCAGCCGCTTGTGGCGAACGGGGGGATTTGTAATGCGGAGAAGAGCCCGGGTTGCGGAGAACCCGAGGGTCCGGGCTTTCCCCTTTCCCCATTTTACCCACAACCCGAACCCCGAGCTCTGGGGAGCCCCGCACTCCGCATTTGTAATGCGGAGAGCCCGACCTTTCCGCCCATTGGATTTGTAATGCGAAGAGCCCGACCTTTGAAAGGTCGGGCTCTCCGCATTACAAATGCAATGGCTATGGGCACCTTTCCGCACTTGTAATGCGGAAAGGTCACCTTTCCGCATTTGTAATGCGGAGAACCGGAGGTGCGGCCTTTCACTTTCTCCAACCGGAGGAAGCGGAGTTTGCGAATTTGTGGCGCGGCTTTTCTCCAGCGGGGAGAAAAGCTGCATCTGCATCCGGCTGGTTTTCCAATTTTGTAATGCAGTTTTTCTCCACCCGACCGCTCGAGCGGAGAAAAACCGCACGCAAAACAAGTAGCTTTGCGCGAAAAAACGGGCGCAAGCCCTATGAGAGCGCAGCTTCTACCCCGTCCGGAGCGGGAAAAGTTGTAAGCGGGTGGAGCCCCATTTGCTTCCTCATTCTCGTAGGTCGCTAGTTTCATTCTCGTGGCACTATATGCTCTTTCTGGGGTCAAGTTGTATTTTGTCCGTTCATAATATGAGATCCTGGATGGCAGTGCGCGGCACACCGAGGGCGGGGATTGGCTGAGTGATCGGAAATTGTATCACATCCGCAAGCGGTGGCTGCGCAGTTTGTACACCAGTCAGCAGTGCTTGGAAAACCTCCGGCAGCGAGCGATGCGCATTCACTACGAGAAGTACCACCGGCGCACCCGTCGTGTGGTAATTTGGTCCGAGCAGCTGAAGCGGCTGCGGTTGAAGTTGAAGCGGTGGGCGCTGCAGTGCAAACAAGACATTCAAAAGGAGCTCACGCCCTGGGAACGGTGGAAACTGGAAAATCTGCCGGCGCGGCTGCAAAACTCCTGGCTTTTTAGCGGAGGCAAGCCGCACCCGATGATCGGGCAGAGCGGCGACAACCTGAACGGTATCACGCAGGAAGAGACCATGCTGGCGTCGTTAGTTTTCGAGGATGAGGAAGAGTTGAGTATCGGCGTCAGTGGCCAAGCTGTCGGTGCGCATGGGTCTTCGAGTTCGTTTGCGCAGGCGGGCGAGGCGAGAATGAACTATGAACTGCAAAACAAAGTAACGTACTAGAAGTATAAATTGCATTACAAATTGACTCAGCATTACACATTAAATTTGTAATGCGGATTTGCCTTAGCAAAAAGATTTGTAATGCATAAACGCAATTAGTACGAGTACGATACTTTTGCACAGGATATGAACAACGGAACAACTACGTCCTTGAACGATGAACAGATTTCATCTCCGGATCCGGAAGATGTTCTCGAACAGCCCAAGAAAAAAACACCTCGCCCGGAGCAGGTCGCTGAGGAGGAAGAAATATCAAATGCAAATATGTCTGGGTCTGGAAACTTGTGATGCTAAAAGGTGGATGCTGGAAACAGTTCCGCATGCAATTTAGCATGACAACTTTCCAGAACGCTTTCTCATAAGCAATCCGCATGAGAAACTGCGTGTTTGCATGTACAAAAGAGGCTGCGACTTTTGTTGGTTATGCAATACAGATTTCCTAGGTATGGAAAGCTAGCATCACAAGTTCCAACCTTCCAGACCCAGACACATTTGCAATCCATAAGAAAATGAAAATACCAGCAGCGAAGACGAGCTGGAGGGCGACTTATGGAAACGTCAGGATTGAAATCGTCAAAGTTGAAATAGATTGTGATGCATAAAATGCAACCCACAAAGTGCCTGTCTTGCAGAATAGGCAAGGGAGGCAGATTGTCAGCCTGTTCAGAAGTAGAAATAGAGCTGCCAAGGTAGCATGACAAAAAACGTCTTCCTTACCCAAACAGCATGACAAACTGGATTTGAGTTCTACCCAAATTTGTCATGCGCCACTTGAAAACTAGGCACCCACTGGTATCCGTTTTATACATCACAAATTATTTGAACTTTGTCGATTTCGATCCTGACACTACCATACGACTTAGAAGACGACGGTGGGGAAACAGCGGACGCACGCAGCTGGGGCACGCAAATGTGGGAGGTATCAACTGCAAATATCGATCTGGGTCTGGACGAAAAGTGGAACGTGTATTGCTTGGCTTGCATGCCAGTGAAATCTGTATTGCATGACTAGCAAATAAAATAAGTGCGAGGACTACTTCTTTTGTCGTGCAACGACGCAGTCTCTGATGCGCGGTACGCATGAGATAAAAGCGGTTCAAACATTTGTCATGCTTGGCTGCACGCTAGAGGATGCTCAACCATTGGCATTGCGATCCAGCATCACAAGTTTCCAGAGGACCCAGATGACATATTTGCAATGCACAAGAGGACTACGTGAGGAACCCCGTCCAGCACCGTGTGCAGCAAGCGGTGGGGGAGGTGAAGCGGTGGGTTATCAAAAGAAAATAAAATCCCCCCGTTCCATACCAAAACGAAGTCTCTGATGAAGGACTTGTGTACAACTACACCAATCAGATTTGTATTGCAGTGAAGGATTGCAGGCATATGGTAAGCCTGAGTACTAGACGAGGTCTTGACGTAGGCACCCAGCACGGCAAATGTCTACGCTGTTCTTGGCCCAGTAGCATCACAAACCGCCCGCATACTTACTTAATGCGGCGGAGCCAGCAGCGGCGTCGCCTTCTAGCAGGACAGAGACGATTTGTGGCCACTAATCAGCATTGCAAATTTTCTGAGGCGTGCCGTTCTGATATGAAAAGGGAGGACTTTCTCTTACGATATGGGTTCCCACCTGGCTATCCGGTGATCCGCTGCAAGCACTATCCTGTGCAAAAGTATCGTACTCGTATTGCAATCATGCATTAAAAAAAGTAGTGAAATAATTTAAAGATCTTTTTTCATGAAGCCCGTCACCAAAAGATAATAGAAAAATAGATTTTTTGCCTTTTTGTTAAGGTACATCAGCATTACAAATTTTATTTCTCATGGTGAGGAAATTTGTAATGCATTTATACGAGTGCGATACTTATTTAGCAATCCATAGTCGCAGAAAGGCGACAACGCGAATACCCGGGCGCGCAAGAAGAGGAAGCGGAAGCTGGCTCGGAAGCTGCAGCAAGAAAAGCTGCGGCGGGAGCAGGCGTATCCACAGTAAAGTTCCCGTACACGTACAAATGCAGTCTCTGCAAGGCAAAACTTGCCTTTAATCCTAGTCCAGCATGACAAGTTGGACTCTGCAAGGTAGCGAAATTTGTCATGCATTTTGTACATGTACAGGAGATTTGTCATGTGCATAAGGCGAGCAAGCAGCGCATCAAGTCGGGCGACTTGGTTTTGCTGGGCAGGACGTCGTATCACATGCAAATATGGATCTGTGTCTGGAATTCGATTGAACTTGTAATGCCAGGCCTACATTCCCCCAAAGATCTGTATTGCATGACTGACAAATAAACGACGCCACCTTTTGTTACAGACAACCGCAGGAGCTTCCCATGCGGACGGCGCATGAGAAAGCGTGGTCCGCAAAACTTGTCATGCGTGGCAGCTGCATGGGGAAGTCGAAGTATTTCAGTCATGCACATAATTTCAGCATCACAAGTTTATTCCAGACCAAGATCGATATTTGCAGTTGATACGTCGGACCAGCAGACGCACGAAATGCAGGAGCGGCGGCTAAAGAAACACGACGAGGACCACATGTACCGGGCGCACAAGGTCAGCTATTGTGAGGAAAAATCCCCCCTCCCCATATCGAACAGGAAATTTGTGATGCCGGATTTGCGTACACAAGTCAGTTTGTACTGCTAGAAGGGCAAGAGACGCAGTTGTGGCCTTGTTTGCAGGCAATTTGTCATGCTGTCTCCCGCTTCCAGTTGCCTCGTGTCATGCAGAAGATGCAAGGCCTTCCCACGCCAGCCAGAACTACAGTCCGCATCTTTTGCCTTCTAGCATGACGACATGACTTGCGGCCGCAAATCAGCGTCACAAATTTCCACTTTGAGTTTGGGGTGGGGGGATTTTTCATTTTGATATCAGCGAAGCCCTCCTGACAGAGGCGGACGAGCAAATGTACAAGCAGCTGTTCGGCCACCACTTGATGGAGGAGGCGGAAGAAGATAGTGCAGACGAGTCCGCCGAGCTGAACGACGCGGTTGCGATGCAGGCGGGCGGGGCAACGGCAACGGCTGCGGCAACCGCCCAAAATACTGCGGGAAGATTAAAGCGCAAGGCCGAGATATCGTAAGAAAAAACTGTTCCACTGTAAGGATTTTGCAAGTTTTGCATTACAAGTTCACTACACATTACAAAGGAAGCTTGCCATGCGAGTATCCTAAGGGAAAACACCACTAAAAATCACTTGTCTTGCATGTGTAGCAAGACAAACACTTCGGTGATGCATTTTCTACATCACAAGTTCACAGTGAAACAGTTTTTTCTTGCGATACGAGAAGCTGCGCAAGCTCGTGGAGAAGCAGGTGGCCGAGTTATGCAAGAAAAAAACTGTGTAAGTGTTATAAACTATGTTACGAAACATGCAAGACACGAACCGAAAATCGCTGAATTTTTCTCGATGCAAAACGTGCAAAATGGTGCAAAAATCGATGCAAAAACGTCAAAACGATGGCAAAAGCCACGAAAAACGTTCCAAATCGAGGAAAATGCGACGAAAAAAAATCCGCGAATATTAGCCGAAATTTCGCAAATTGTTGCGGTTCGGGCCTGCGTTTTTGTAAAGCAAACGGGACAAAATGCGCGCAAATTAGGTCAATAGCATGCGAAATCGTGCAAAATGACA